GGTGAAGTTGAAATGGATGGGCCACCCCCTATGTTGACTCCCGAACAAGTTTGGCATAGAGTCATGAATTTACCAAAAGTCATAGAAGATGGTGTGCTTAGACTAGATGGACATGGACAACAACATAACTGGACAAAAAGAAGTATCTTTTGGGATCTTCCTTACTGGAAAGACAATTTATTAAGACACAACCTTGATGTTATGCACATAGAAAAAAACTTCTTTGACAACATATTCAACACTGTGATGAATGTACCTAATAAGACTAAAGACAATGAAAAGGCAAGGAAGGACTTAGCTTTGTATTGTAGGCGAAAAGACTTGGAGCTAAAGCCACAAAATAATGGGAAGATGTTAAAGCCAAAAGCAAACTACATATTAACTGTAGAGCAAGCAAAACTAGTTTATCAGTGGATAAAAGAACTTAGGATGCCTGATGGATATTCTTCTAATTTGGCAAGATGCGTTGATGTTGAAAAGAGAAAAATGATTGGAATGAAAAGTCATGATTGTCATGTATTCATGGAGTGTCTGCTTCCAATTGCCTTTAGTTCATTACCAGTTCATGTTTTAAATCCACTTATTGAAGTCAGTAATTTCTTTAAAGATTTGTGCTCTACAACATTGAGGGAGGATGATTTGAGTAAGATGGAAAAAAACATTCCAATTATTCTCTGCAAGTTGGAGAGAATATTCCCTCCAGGATTCTTTGATTCAATGGAACATCTCCCTATTCATTTAGCCTATGAAGCTAAACTTGGTGGACCAGTCCAATATAGGTGGATGTATCCGTTTGAAAGGTAATACAATTATGACTGAAATTTAATAAAATTACTTTTGTTTAATTCTTATCAATTATTAATAAGTTATTACATTTAATAGATTCATGGGTGATGCTAAACTATCTATAAAGAATAAAGTTAGGGTTGAAGGCTCAATTTGTTATTCTTACTTGCACCGTTAAACAACTCATTTTTGCTCTCATTATTTCAACAACTTCATGTTGTCACCACGAAATGGTAGAAACGAAATGGAAGTCGAAAGTCAAGGGTGCTCGTATATGTTATCAGTCTTTAACCAACCTAGTCGTCATTCTGAGAAAGAGTTGACTCATTGGTTAACCGATGCAGAGCTAAACTCAGTTCATGTTCATGTGTTGATCAATTGTATTGAAGTTAAACCATACCTTGAGTAAGTAATTTACAAAATTTCCAATATTTATTATATTAGGACTTGAATATCCTTATCATTTACAATTTGAATGATATAATTGGACAGTTCATTCCTACAATCCCAACAAATAAGTGAATCAAATGCTTCTACTCGTATACATGCAGAATTTCCTACATGGTTCAAGAATCAAGTATGTATATATCTAAACACTTATTTTAGTTTTTCTTTACCAAAATTCATAACCCTAAACCTTTCACGAACCTTACCTTTGTAGGTTAACAGTGAGCCTTTATCTGTGAGAAACCAACACTTACGAGATTTATCATATGGTCCTCTGACTTGTGTTAAAGAATGGCACACATTCTTTGTCAATGGGTACAAATTTCACACCCATGCATGGAGTGAGGGTAAAAAAACAATAAATTGTGGTGTTTATGTTAAAGGACTTATAGAAGGGGGAGAAGATGATTTCTATGGAGTTATTAAACACATGTATGAGCTAGAGTACAACACCTCAACATATCCTAAAAAAGTTGTGGTATTTTATTGTGATTGGTTTGATCCATCGAGTAGAGGTACAAGAATTGATCCCAAATATAATATAGTTGATATTAAAATGGATAGAAGATATCAACTATTTGATCCGTTTATCATTGCACACAATGTAAGACAAGTGTATTATGTCCCTTATCCTGCAACACGAAGGGACAAACGTGGTTGGTGTGTTGCAATCAAAACAAAGCCAAGGGGTAGGATAGAATCTAATGATATAGAACATGATGTACCTTATCAAGTAGATGAAATGTTACATGCCAATGAAGTCATTGAAGTTGAAGGAATTACGGGATTACAAGATTTAGAAGCTGATCTTGAAGAAGTTAATGAGCTAATCAATGAAGAAAATGATTTGGCAGAAAACAATGAAGACAATGAATTTGATGATGATTTTGAAGATGAGTTTGAAGACTATATTTCGGAATAGGATTAGAAAAATTGGATTTGAAGTGTATGATTTTGATATCAAAGTGTATAATCATAATTATGCAACTAGTATAATAAATTTGATTTGTTGTCTATTTTTATATTATAGTTTCATTTTGGGTATTATTTTGTAACTTTATTTTCAATGAATAGATATGTCATCAGGAGGTTGTGACCCTCCCCGTCCACCGTCGCCTAGCGGGAATAAGGGGAAACAGGTAATGAAGGGGACGAAGCGATATGAGATTAAAGTATTGTCACGTAGAGACAACTTCACATCATCTATCACATCCCCAGTTGTGGCATCTAGACCATCCCCATTCCCAGTCATTGGTTGTATGTCATCCTCATCCATAGCTATTCGTTCTACACCATCTCCATCCTCAGGTGCGACATCCACACCATCTCCATCCCCGGGTGCGACATCCACACCATCTCCATCCCCAAATGCTATAGGAACACCTAATGTTAATCCACCACCTACTAGTGAAGACTTAAATGAGGAAGACCCGCCACTTGATGATCTTCCTTTAATTAAACCTACTCGTAATGGGTAAGAATAAATTAACATTTACGTAATTTCTTAATTATAAGTAAATTTAAGTTTATTAAGGTTTAAAATTTTATGTCTTTATCTTGTTTAGGTTTCTCCCATCAAAGACTGCATCAACTGCTATCACACGGACCATTAAGCAGCAATATCATTCACCTTGGGTCACATGGGGAGAAATTCCCCAGGCTGATAAAGATATTTTCTTTCAACGTTTCAAGGTAAATTAAAGATTTATGAAATATAAATTTATATGTCTATTTAAATCTAAGGTATTAGTTTGTTGATATGGATGTGGGTTTGTTTGTTGATTTAGGTGTTGATATTCCAATTCTTTATATTTAAAGATAACAATTAACTTCTAGTTATAATATAAAGTTATGATATTAATATCTTCAATAAAAACTAAAACTGCATTGTATATGTATTACTATTACATTAAAACAAAAAGTTATATATGTTGTTAGTTTATTAATAGATAATTTAATAAAGATAAATATTATCATAAGAAATTTAATTTAATAAAAAAAATGTAACTTCTAGTGTTCTTTTTACAAAAATAAGCTATTATAAATTCTATAGGAGTTTGTTGATTAATTGTATTGGATTGTTGCAATGACTGATTGATTTGTATTGAATTGTATTGTATTGAATTGTATTAAACCATATAAGAGTATTTTTCATAGATTGATTTGGTCATTGAAAATATATATTATTGTTAAATACTTGCTTGTTCTCATAGACTTTCTGAGATGTTTCTTTGGTTATTAATTAATATATATGGTTGTTAATAGAGGATGGTGAAATGGAGTCCTGAGCATGAAAGTAATATCAAAAAAAATTTCAATGCAAAAGCTTCTCATAGACTTTCTGAGATGTTTATGGATGCCCGAAAGAAAAATAAGAAACCAGATTGGATTGGAGATCGTGTGTGGAACTCTTTATTAGAACATTGGAATGTACCTACATATCGTACAAAGTGTACACAAGCACAAAAAAATAGAGCATCTGAAAAGGGTGGAAGTATGCACACATGTGGCTCCATTAGCATGAATGAACATGCCATTCGCATGGTATGTTTATATTTTAGTCTTCATTCTTCTAATGCTTAATTTTATATGTTAAATTTTGATTTATATAATGTTTTTATTTGTAGGAAAAGGAGCTTGGTCGACCTGTACACCATGATGAACTCTTTCAGCAAACTCATATACGAAAAGACACTGGTCAGTTTGTTGATGATAGATCTAGGCGGACACATGTGAGTCTATGTTACTTATTTTATTGGTCTTTAATTTTATTAATGTTTACACTATTTTTACGTACTGTTTATGATGATAATAGGAAGATTTTGAAGCTAGATTTTCTCAAGCTATATCTGAGGTTGGATCCACTGCTGGCACCTCAGAATGCACCCCTTTAGACCCTGTTGAGGAGGATAGACTTAGGAGTCAATGTTGGAATGCAGCTATCGGTAAAAAATACAAGGGACGTCGTTATGGTACGGGAGATCTTTATGAGAATGAACATAGTAGCTTTGTGGGGACATCTTCAAGTCAGTCTCAGAATACACAAGAGATTTCTCAGTTGACACAACGAGTTTTAGCTAATGAGGAAGAGATGCGTCGGATGCGCTCCCAATATCAGACTGAGATTCAATCCTTGACCTCCCAGTATCAGACTCAGTTCAACACATTTCTCAATGCTGTACTCCCATTCCTACCACCTACTATGCAGACTACTCTTCAACAGCAACAACAACATCAACAACCAAACAGACACCAACAACAAGACAATCGGCAACCAACAGAGGATGAACAAGCTAATGACCAACATCAACAACATTCACCTGGATATTCAAATTATTAGATATATTGTTATGTTATAATTCTATTGGTTGTACTGTATTTTGTTTTTAAATTTGAACCCTAAACTTTATTTATGTATGACATTTTATTTTGTTTGAATGATTAAACTTGTTTTAATTCACATAATTATGATTCATTTAATATCTTTAAACAGGATTATTATTAATATGATTTTTAATTTATTTAAATTTTTTTTAACAATACACAAAGAATTTCCCACGGATTAAATCTGTGAGTAATCTATCATGGAATCCAGGGGTAATTTCCAACGGATTTAATCCGTGGGTAATTTCCCACGGACTGAATCCGTGGGTAATTTCCTACGGACTGAATCCGTGGGTAATTCCCACAGATCAAAATCCGTTGGTAAATATTTTAGGCGAGCAATTTACCGATGGATTTTTGCCCGTCTGTAATCCGTCGGAAATTGAGTGTTTCCCACGGATTTTTTTGATTACCCATGAATTTTGGTCATCTGTAATCTTGAAATTTCTTGTAGTGAACTTGTGTTTTGCAACGCTGGCTCTGTCTATTCTATTTTTTTAAGTATTCTTCTATCATTTCCTACTCCAAACGGTTCTCTTGGTGACAAAATGTGTAAGTGAAAAGTAAAAACTGTGTTTATCATTTGAATGATCCTTATCAAAAACATGGCTTAAGGGTTGGTAATCGTCACTGGTACAAAGGAAGTATTCCACATTGGTTATTTTAAGCTTTTTACGTCGGAAAAAATGCTGACGTTAATGCAAGAGATGTAAATTTACGTTGGCTTTGTAAACCAATATAAATTTACGTTGGACATTACTAAGGTCCGACGTAAAAAAATAGTAAAAAAACAAAAAAAAAATATACGAGTGCAAGCAGAACGACCCGTTCTGCTTCATAGAACAACTCAAAAGAAAAGGCCAACAACCTAGACAAATAGAACAACCAAAAAATCGAATAGAACAGATAGTCATCAAGCAATGCAAAACAAAAAGGTGTTAACGAAATCCTGATTCATACCTGATGAGTTGCAATAGTGTGCGAATGAGTAACAAAGAGTTCACCCCACTCTACAGAAGACAAAAAAACGATTCAGAGAAAAAAAAATGAAAAGTGATGAAGAGTGAATGCGCGCGGTGTGCCTCACACTCTCTTATTCAGTTTTGCGTCCTTTTTTTATGTCGGACTTGGTAGGGTTCAACGTAAAATGTCAAATCTACGTCGAACACAACATACATCTGACATAGATTTGACATTTTACGCCAGTCCCTACCAGGTCCGACATAAAAAAGTTCACGAAAATTATAAAAATGCCACCGCGTCTTTTTTATATCGGATTTTAGTCTGTTCGATGTTAAAGAGGTGACGTAATATACTAATTTTTCACTAGTACGTAAAAAAATGTACGTTTTTCTTTATTTTGTAATTTTGTTTGTTGCACAGATTCAATGTATTAGGTATTAGATACATAGATCAACACCTTTAATTAACTATAATATGTTATACCAACTAATTTTGTTTTTATTCGGGACTTATATATATATAAACACCTCCCACGCGCGTCCGAAATCATGTCGACCTAAGGTGGGGACAATTTGTTTGATAAATTTAATTTTGTTCACACTTATAGATCTTCTTATATTATATATTTAATTTTGATGAAATTATAGATTAATTTATAGGAGTTTGTTTGGTGGGACATTTTACTGTCTTTTATTTGATCAATTTTATTTTATTATTTTTTTTTGTAACAATTGTGATCTTCCTTCTTTTACATTTTATTAATTTTCTTTCATAGACTTTGGTGTATCCTCATACACTTTGTATTATTTTCTATTTTTATTTTATATATTTGGACATGTTACAAATGAATAATAAGTTTTAAAGTGCTAATGTTGTTGGGATGTCTCTGTCTTATAAACTATAGTAATGTTATGCATATCTAACTTTAATTAAAAGAAATTGATAAAAATAATTTAAATTATTAATAAATTTAGTATTATTAACTAAATTGATTGAAAGTATATTAAATATGTTTGCAATGACGTGGTTGTAAAGATAAACATATTTTTTTCTCTCAATTTCTTAGTTTTTCATTTTTATTTGAGTTCTTTGTATATTTTCATCATCTTTATTTATTTTTTAAATTAGGACATTTTAGTTGATTGATCCTTGATCTACGGTAAAATTAAATATATATCAACATAAATGAACATTTTGTAGTTTTTTTTTGGTAAAGAATTAACATTTTATAGTTATGCATTATTAGTGTTTTTTTTTACAATATCAATCAATAAAAAAAACTATTATTTGAATGATTTTGAAAGTAATTATTTTAAAGTCAACAAATTCATTGTAACAATGGTTTATGTTTGGATGATAGTCTAAAACTATTTTACTATTGATGCATAATTTTTTTCTCTCTAAAAGGATTAATCAATTAAACTATATACAATGGTTATAATTATTTTTATTGTGCACTTCTTGAATTAAAAAAATTATATCGAAAAAAGAATATGTAAAGTGTTGTGACATGATGATAAAAATCTTCTTTTGTGTGTTAATGAAATAACTTTTAATTTTGACTGTATCGATATAAAATTGTATGGTCCAATTTTATAACTCATGTTTTTATATGTTAACGTGCATATAATAAACTTTTGGTTTAAAATTTTGAAATGTCCGTTTATAACATAAATGTGAAAAGAGTGAAACCAAATGATTTAATCTGTTGCAAAACTGATTATAAAATTTACTACTAAAAATTCTTTTATTACATGCAGATTGTCCCACGAAAAATTTATAAGAAATATGCTTTTTGTAATGAATTTTTATGTGAGTTTTAATTCACAAGTAATAGTACTCTCATAGATAATATATATATATATATATATATATATATATATATATATATATATATATATATATATGTATATATATATTTTGCAAATTTTAATTTTACAGGAGATTTCTTGGATATTTTCTTGCAGTTTTTTTCATAGAAAATCTACGAATTCTTTTTGTAAGAAATTTTTTAGAAAATTAAAAATTTGTAAAAAATATTGTAAATAAATTTTCTGTGGATTTTAAATTTGCAGGAAAGTCCCCAAGTAATAATTTTCTTGTTATTGAATAATTTGTAGGTAAGTTTCCTGAGTTTTAAAACTGGTAGGTAAGTTTATTGGGGATTTTGGTAGGTAAGTTTAAAATTGGAAATGGAGGACAAACTAGATTTTAGTTATAAATGGATAGGAAAAAATTGTCTAGCAAATACTTATCCTAGGCTATTCCAAAATTCTGAACAACAACACAATAAAGTATCTGAGATGGGAAAATGGTGTGATGGTATTTGGAAATGGGAATTTATATGGCCTAGGCCATGGTTTGAGTGGGAAAGGAGTCAATGGGAAACAATGCAAAACCAACTGGGAAATGTAACAATTCAAAAACGTACAGGTACAAGACTCTTGGATTTAGTTGGCTGACAAATCTGAAAGTTACATAGTCAAGTCAGCTTATATATCACTCCAGGCAACTAGCAAAGATAGGCAAGTGGAGGAAGAATTTAATCAAATCTAAAGTATAAAAGCTTCTCCAAAGGCACAACTATTTGTGTGAAGAGTGTTTCATGGAGTAATTGCAACAACTGATAATTTATCATATAGAAATATTTGCCTGGAAAACCAACAAAAAATGTGCTCGTTCTGTAAATCAGCATTGGAATCAATACCACATATATTTTCTACCTGCAGCAAGGTAGACAAGTTGTGGAATAAATGGTTGGAAACTTGGAATGGTTAAGTAGTCATACGGGATTACCACAACTACCAATGAATCATTTCAATTGTATACCAGCCAACATCATATCAACAATAGGAAGGGGAGATGTGGCAAACTATTTGGACAACAACTATGTGGACTATTTGGAGGCATAGAAACCGATGTGTGTTTAGAGGTGACAACTTTGATGAAGAGGTAATAATGAAGGACATTTTACAAACTTCTTGGTTTTGGTTACACACTCTACAAAAGGTCTTTAAATACTCTTTTCTACAATGATCTTTAAATCCAGCATTGTGTTTGTTAAATGGGATGGAGGATCAGGTGTAAACAAGGAGAGTATACAGTAGAGGAAAAGCAAGGGGTTTAATGCAAAGTGTAGAACAAAATAGTCAGACGGTGGAAACGAATCTAAGTGTGGCTTAAATGTTTAGAAGGTAAACACAAGTGGGGTACTCTCATTTTTCAAATACTTTGTAATATAACAATTCGATCAGATAGTAATTTGTTTTAAGATATGCAAATTATATCTACCCGTTTCTTCTGTTAACTTTAGTTAATATCTTGTACATGGGTTTGTTAGCCCTTGTACCTTTTAATACAATATTTCTTGGCTGTTCAAAAAAAAGTTTATTGGGGATTTAAAATCCCTAGGAAATTCCACATGTACTTTTCTTACAAATTTTTAAAAAAAGTTATCAAAACAATTATTTAAATTCACAATTTATTGACTAATATTGTAATAATATTTTTATTTAATTATGAAATATAAAATATAATTAGAATATTGCAAAATGGAGTATTAGAAACTGAACGAGAAACAAATCCAATGACAATAATTATTTGGTGAATAAAGGCCTCGCTGAAATTAAATTCTTTTTTATTTCGTTAGGCAACTCTTCACCACTGCGCAGCAATAATAATATTAACAACATGTAAACGTGAAAAATTAATGAAATTAAAGGTAGTATGAAATATAAATCATCGAGAAGCACTATTCAATTAATATGTAAACATGAAAAATTAATGAAATTAAAGGTAGTACCGAATTAAAGTTAAAAGAATAGGTGAAAGAGAAAAAAAATCAAAAGAATTTGGATAAGGATCGATGACAGTCAGAAATTAGCGTTCAGAGAGATTTTGGCTTTTAACTAAATTTGGATTTAAACATTTTCTTTCTTTATATACCTATAAATGGTTCGAGAGAAATTTGTTAAGCTGTGCAAACAAACTATAAAGTGAGGGAGGGGTCGAGATAATTAGAAATATGAGGACTAAATTCAATTTTCATTGCAGTCATCTTTGTAATATTTCCTATTTAAAAAAAAAAAAAACTATAAAGTGAAGAAGTTAGAGAG